AGTTGCTTTTTTTCCTTAAATCCCACTTGTTGTTCGACGCAACATCAAGATATGATCTTTCCAATATATAAAGGACCTATGGTATGAGTTTCGTTGAGGTAGGAGGTCCGTAATTGGGCCGAATTTCCGTAGTAACTACGGACGTTCCGTAGTACATGAGAACCCTGCACTTTCGATTCCACCCAAGATACTAGAAATACAAGATAGAGTTCTCGTATTGTAAAAATGAGGCGGAAGTCGTGCCCAACGTAGGCGGCGCCCTTCTTTTTAACCACGCAAGTTTCCTATACTTCGTGCCCAACGTACAGGGCGCCCTTCTGTTGCTAAGTATATCCAGACGCAAANNNNAGGCGCCCTTCCTTTTCCACTAATGGAGGAAAACTTTTTCACTAAGAGTGCGTCCGGCCATGCGATTCTGCGCTGTATTGTTGTTTTATTCTTTACTGATTCATGATTATGCTTTAATTGTTTTTTGTATTATTTGGATAATAGCATCGATTTCTATGTATTCACCGATGTCACTGTCTGGGTGTCTATTCCAGTTTGTTTTTATATCTAGTATCTTTGTTGAATTGATAATAAAATACGCGACGACTTGGTAACGAAAGTTTGGCACAAGTTTTTTTTATATCCAGCTGTAGGGGGCGTCCCATTTTCGTATTCCCACCATGCATTTCGGTGGAACACGGTGGAACACTTTTTTTTGTGTGGAGAACTCTATCTTGTATTTCTAGTATCTTTGATTCCACTCAGTGCATATGACTTTGCGGTGAATTTCAATGACGTCATCTTTGTCTCAGCGTATCAACGTCCCAGTGTATCAGCGTCTCAGTGTATCAGTGTATCAGCGTTTATAAGACAACGTAAATTTAGACTGGTCTTCGTCGTCGTTCGAAGAGGATGTAAATGAAAACGAAGAGGATAACGTTGGTACAAACGCTTATTTATTTGAACCAGAATATAGAGAAGAAGAAGCTACAAATACAGACGAAGACATTGGCGTAGGCATTCGTAGGCTTTTGAATACCGAGTGGTAAGAAATTGGCGCGAAGTGCCTATCCTAGGCCCACCCCCTGTTTTTAGTAGGGGAGGCGTTCCCTCTCTCTTGATGCACTACATCTCGGCGTAGGCCCCTTAGGCATAACTTGATTTCTACCTTTACGATAATGCATGTTTATTTTAACATAAGCCTAATTTTTTTTCTACCTTTATCACCCGGCATCCTAGTGTACACGTATTTAGTGAGGTTTGGCCTAGGCTATGCCTAGGCCTACCTAATTAATAATAATAATAATAATAATAATAATAATAATAATAATAATAATAATAATAATAGAGTAGGCCTAGCCTAGGCTAGGCCAAGACATGTTTTTTTTTTTTTTAGAAATTGCCACGGGGAGCTTTTATTAAACTATTAAGTAGGCCTACTGTAGGCCTATGCCTATACAGGCTGGGGTAGGGGTAGGCCTAGGGCTAGACATTTAAAAGTACATCTGTAGGCCGCCTAGCATAGGGTCCTTGATTGTCTAGTTCGGACCGATGTTTGTTTTTTAACATGTAGCCTAGGGCTGCCCTACTCAGCACTAAATAAACGGATTTTTTGCAGGTGTTTGTGCACAAGGTGTGGCATAATGCCTACAATGAAAGAGTCAAAATGCTGCATGGAATATAAACAAATGCAAGACAAGATGGTCCGTGCTGGTATGCAAGGTGGATGTATAACATCTCATCCTGGATTTGAACATGTTTGTTTAAATGAATGGGTGTTACAGCTTACCTACTTATCGTATTGGCAGCAGTATGGGGTGCGAGCCGTGTTACCACATTCAAGAGAAGAGTAATTAATTCTACAGTACTTTAGTTTCACATCCCCGTCTCATGAAAAAATTTATTATTTGCTATTTAAAAAAAAAATAATTTTTCCATGGACAATAAGAAAAATTAGTATCTGAAAGAATGATGTCAATCCTAAGAAGGGGTGTGAACATATTATGGTAGAAATACATTACAAAGATTCATTTTACTTCTTTTAGTAGCAAATACCCACACCAAAAAATAATTTCTAATTCTGTCACGTGAAACAAACAATTAATTTTATTTGGTCTTACGTGTATTAAAACAAGCTTCAAAAAAGTTTATGCTGTTGCATACTGAAAGGTAGGATGATTGGGGAAAAGTTATTGGTATAATATGTAAATGTATGATATTATTACTGTATTTATATCTGATATTTACTTTCACAGGCAATACAGACACATTGCATACAGAAATCTGGTCCGCTTCTGCTATGGCTATTTAGGCAGACTCAATAGTGTTACTCTACCAGCCTGTGCTGTGCTTAAGATACGCAAGGCATTTCCAAACCCAGAAGAAGAGGGTTACACAGGATTCAAATTAGGAAAGTTAGAAGAAATATAATTATAAATTTTATAGTGTAAATTTCCACTGATGAATATAACCGAGCAGCGGGTAACTAAACTTAATTTCTTACTACTTGGTATTCAAAGCATATGACGGTCTGCGCAATGTCTTCGTCCGTATTTGTAGCTGCTCCTGCTTCTCTAAATTCATTTGCATCATCTTCGAATGGTATAAAATGGTAGCTTCTTATCGGTAATCTTTCCCATCAGCCTAACAGAACAAAACTCCTGTAGTTCATTATACAGTAATTACTGTAGTGGGTATGCTATGTGCTTGTTTGTAAACTTGCAATTTTGGTAAAATTAATGAATAATTGGCACACTGCCCTAATTCTTTTATTATTTATTTATTATTAAATTTTATTTAATAATATGATATTATTTTAACTGGTATTCATGGCTTAAAATTTGATTCTAAACTTATTTTGGCCTCTTTCCACACACTTATTCTGTAACATATTATTATTCTTATTTCTTTTTACTATTAAGTATTTTCAGTACAGTAATATATATGTGTATGTGTGTGAATAAATTAAATGAAAAAAAACCAAAACAAACACAGACTATATAATTGCTTCTCTTTTGTTAAATAATGGCTCTGAAAAGAGCCTTTTGGTTTGAGTGTCTTGTTTATGTGAGACTGGTAAATCTTGACAGATGTTTAGCTATTGCTACATCTTTCCCTGGTCTGCTAAAGGCTGAACAAACAGGTGGTGGTGGAGAACTGAGTTGTGGAATGGAGAGTTGTAGGTCTTTCTTCCCACTGCTACACAATTGCCTCTGCTATTAGTTCATCAACATAATCTGTAAACAAATGTTTTGGAGTTTAAATTGTATTGAAAGATCACATGACTTAACTACATTTTCATAAGCAACTAAAAATTTTCAAATTAAGCTTACCATAAGTAGCCTCAGTCAACACTTTTTGCAATGTATATCCACCACTTTTAGATCTTGGATAAACTACGGAGTATCTGTCATTTCCTTTTCCATCTTTTAAAGCAATTCTGCCTGCATTTTCATTATAATGCAACGCTGCTATTATCACCCTAAAAATTAAATGACATAAGTTTGACAAGTTGTCGGTATAGCAATTGGTACGCAAGGTTGATGATTGCAATGTGTATGTTTAGGTCTGTCCACAGTATAATATTTTATGCAACAAATTTGTCTTGATGTTATCACATTTTTCTTGCACATACAGTTTGATAGTGTAGATGGAGCTTAACTCTTACCTGGTAAACATGCCATTGTAGGAATACACCAGCATTTTGGGAGCAAATTGAATTATAGTCCCATGGAATGCCTCTACACCCGATGTCTGCCGATGTGGACTAAGCTTTTGTATGTCCTTTTTTCTAGAAGATCGGACAATTTTTCGCATGCCTTTGACTCTGTCATATGACAAAATAAAAAAAAATTAATATAACATTTAAACTGTAAAAACCATTACTAAAATCTTATCTTTACATTTATTTTTCGTGATGTTATATGATGTTGATAATACTGTAATAAAATATGATATAAAAATGAAATTCCGACTACGGTAAGCATGTACAGTACTGTAATTTTTTTAAATGAAGACTTTTTTAAATAAATATTTTATACCTGGTTTTAGCCATTTCTTCTTATTTCTTTCCTGTATGGGAGGATGAAGGCAATTTGGGAAGTGCTCTGAATGCCCAGTATGAATGTTCTGAATATGATTCTTTAAGCTCATGAACTTCCCAAGCATTTCATTTGGATCTCCACTTGGTGTGGACGAAGCTACCCAACAAACATGGTTGTTAATACTTCTTGCCCACTCCTGCACCACTTCACAATCCTTTTCTTTCCCGATGGCTCTTACTCTTACTTCTGAACAAATAGTTTAAAAGAATGATAATGTTAATTTTATTGCTAAACATAATATTCAAAACCCAAACAAGAGCACTTTATTTGGTCCACTTATACTAATATAGGAGGGTTAAATGAATAAAAATAATTGTAAAATACTAATTGGAGTGGAATAAAGAAAATGATGATAAACTTTTCTAAAAAATTATAGGTCTGTAGGAACAGTATAAAAAATATGAAAAACAAATTGAAAATAATTTATTTTAATCATATTAACGCATAAAATAGTTACTATTTTACTGTATGGGGTTTTTTTTGCAATAAAAGAAATTGAGGAAGTTTACTTCAATAGTTGATTCCTGAATATTTGTTTACTACATACACAGGGGAGGAACACAACAATAAATTGTAACAATGTTATAATTGTTAAAGCGCGCGAATGATACACAGCGTGCAACAGTTCAAGTTCATTCAGTGCAGAGACATGGTTGGTACAGCATGCATGACAGTTTAATACAAAACTTTACATACAGTTTCATTTATGAAAGGAAGCTTTGGATTTATTTTTACATTGAAGGATTCATTGATGTGTTTGATATTGAATTTGAAAGAAGTATGCTTAATACTGTTTAACAATTGAAGGATGCTTATACTTTTGATAATTAACCTGACCTAGGATAGCTACAAGTGTAGGCAAAAAAAGAGGCTAGCTTAGTATAGTAGGATAGATGAATACAGCACCAGGCCTCAAAAGGTAAGCAGTCACACCTTTTTTTTTTATCTAGCTAACATAGGCTAGGCCTAGCCTTATTTTTATTTATATGTAGCCATGTGCCTATACCTAACTGCAGTACAATTGCATATTAACTGAGATAGAAACAACCACACAAAAGCCTATAAATAACAATATTTATTACCTGTCTGTAAGGGCAGCCTAGGGCCTGTCCATGCCTATAATTATTAAATAGCTATAGGCCAAATTATAAATGTAATTAGAGCAAACAAGTAGAGATGCTTTACTTTTAGCAACATGCCACACATCATAATGCCACACATCATAATAGTTCTCTCTGATCCATTTGGCAAACTGTGCATGCCTGTCAGTCACAAGAGCTTGGATTTTTAGTTGCTCCATTCCAATTGCAGCCACTCCCAACTTAAGTCCTTCTAGTTCCATATGATAGCTGCCACCCACCACATTTTTCTGGTAACAAAACAAAAAACATAGGGCTAGGCCTAGAAAAGCTGAATGATAATCAAAGTGTAGTTAATCAAATAATATGACTGTTGATATATCATTACCTGTACAAATTGTATGTCAATCACTTTGTTTCTGTTGAGATCCATGAGAGTGTACGACCCATATTTTGCACAATGGCCTACGCTATCAGCTCTTGCATCACCACCTAGAACAACTGGTGCCCCAAGTATTCTTATTTCGTCCATTATGTTTTGCCTTTTCCTTTTCCACACCTGCATTGTGGCTGGCTGTAAATACTGTTGTTGGTGTCGATAAAATGTTCTTTCAGTAATAACGCACACATTAATATGCGAAAGAGCATTTAGCGTCTTTCTGACAAGGATCCCGAGAAAAGAATAGAGGCTGATAACAAGAGGTTTCCAGCAGCTATTTCTTTGATTTTTGGTTGGCTGTTCCATTTTCTGCTATAGTTACACAACTTGCACACTTGTTTAATAACAACATATGTTCCAACTATTTGTGTAACCTTTCCTTTGGTATGGCGATGACAGGAAGGACATTTGCTGAATAATTCTAGGAGCTGGTTCTCAAAGACAATAAACTTCCTTTGCTCAACTGGACCCTTCGACAAATCACTGACACTGTCATCACTATCCGACCTTAAAACCAATATTAAGAAGAAAACTTAAAATGGTGTTGAATACTCTAATTTGAATTTAAATACTGTATATAGATTGTAAATAAAATTCTTTTTAAAATATACTGCAGGCTATAGTTTAATGCTATGTATACTGTACCTTGTAATAATATACAGTAAATACATGACAATAATTCCTAGAACTACTATTTGTAATTCCTTGTTAACTTACATTAATGATGATGAAAGATATGTGTTGTCTGGATTGAAAGTTCTATCAAAGATGCTAACATGATGATCACTCTCACAAAGTGAAGACTCGTCTTCGCTTTGATTGGGAGTTGATGTGCCTACTGGTATTGCAGTGATTGGTTCTTCAAACAATGTTTATATTGAATATTGAATTTCTAAAAATTGTCATTTATTTTTATTTTAAAAAGGGCATATTATTGATATTAAAGTTACTACGGTATAATTACTAATCATGCAGCAGGTATAACTGCTACATTTAACAATATCAGAAAATAAAAATAAAAAATAAGAATTTTACCTTTGGTACACATTTTTGAGCCAACTTGCACACGCATTGAGCGTTTAGACTTTGTCCCTTTTTTTCTGCACTTTATAGTGGATGTTTTTGAAATATCCTATAATAGTATAATATACATGTAGATTTTTTTTTTAAAATCATACAGTACTTTAATATCTGAATTACAAACTTAGTACATAGATGTAATAATAATAGTAATAATAATAATAATAATAATAATAGCCTATATATTAAGCAACAATAATATAATAAATAAGTATGAGTTGGTAGACTGAGAAAGGAGTACATACAAATTAAGTAATATTAATACCTGCAAGTTTCTGCTCTGCTGATATTCTTTAACAAACAAGGCTAAATGAGATGATGCATTTTCAATTGTTGGTACTGGCAATGTGCTTTCACCTTTTTCACTTTTCTGCCTACTATCTTCTAATATGTTTTCAACATACTAGAATATTGAAAAAAACAAAAAACAAAAAAATAAAAACAATACGAATTGACCTAATTATAAAATACAATACATACATAGCATGCATAATGGCATCTAATATTAATGATGATAACATAGGTCTGCCTATATTTTTAGGTTAGCCTCTAATCTCACTACCTATAGGCTAAGTACTATCGATAAGTAGGACCCACCCGCCCAGGGAACAATTAAATTGGTAGGCCTACAGGTGGTAGTAGTGGTAGTAGTAGTAGAGATAGTGGTGGCTTTGGTATAAGCCTATTACTTAGGCTATAGGTATGTTCCAATACGTACATAGGCCTTTTATCAACTGCAAAAGAATCACCGAGGAATATAATGTAAAATGTTACGTAAACATACGACGTTACTAGGGATACAATTTCATAAACTACTCACTGTACTAGCCTAGGCCTAGTAGAGTAGTACGCTAGCTTATGTTGCTAGGTACAGTAGTAAACATGACGCCAGAAAGGTCGGCGACCTGTCCGACAGGACCAACACGGAACTTAATACTGTAAATACCGACGGTGACTTACCTGTTTTCTCTGGCGTTTTACGGCGTACGGCCTTTTATTTTCCATTCCCGTTGTTTCCTTTTCTTTTTTTATTGTTTTTTTTTTTTATTGACAGCGTTTTTCTTTAGTCTTAGGACGGAGGAAAGCCCCAGCTTTCGTTTCATTTGACATGTTATGTCGTAACTTTCTGTATCAAAGTGAACACTACAAATTTTTGCGTGAGCACTTGAACTTACGAAATTCTTCCTCGCAAACTGAACGAAGCGAATCCACTGTCGTCTAATTCTTGGATTTTTTGGAAACAAAAAAAAATGAACATCATTCTTATCGGAATTCCGGCAACCCCCAACAACACAATTTTTCGGCATTACTGTTATTATTCTATCGCTAGGAATCACTCAGTGTATCTGCTGGTCGACGCAATACTGTACTTTCTAAACTGGACAATAAACAAAAGGTTACTAAAGGGCGTGATGACGTCACATGCTTGACCTTTCAATATTTTAGGATTTTTATGTCACCTCTTCGTAAAAGTCTTTAAAATTACGATTTTAGGAATATTTGTGCCGTTAAATCAATGCATACATTAAGTAATCAGTACAACACAGATGTTCTGTAAGTAAAAGCATAATTTATTAGCTTGTCATACGGTCTTTAAGTGATAAGCCTACGTTTACAAACCCCAGTGTTACGTTGACGCAGTCTCGCAATGACGCCATAATAATCAGTGGCAGATTCAAGTGGGGCCGAGCCGGCCCAATTTTTTCAAAATTATTTTTTTAAAATGGAAAAAAAAAAAACCAAGAAAAATTAGAATTAGAATTTAGGTCTGAGAGTACCATTTCCGGCAATCTAAAAGTGTCATAATAATAAATTTTCTTTCCTCAGCCCCAACCATAGTGGGACTGAGGTGATCTACTTTTCCAATGTGCAAGTCCCTCCCCCCCCCCCCCCCCCCCCCCTCTAATTTGCTTTCCTGGAGCCGCCACTGATACTGATAAAATTAAGTAAATCAAATTTATGTTTGTGAAATCAAAATGCTAACTACTGTTTTGTCTGCTCCCTATCTCCCTAGTCCTGTTTGATCGTAAATTAGACGGTATTATTTCCATTCACAATAATTTATCGCAATTTTACTTACACAAAAGTGAAATTCAAAATAAGGAGAAAAGCAAAAACCTCTTGGTTGACTTTAAAAGTACTGTACATGCAAAAAGACTAAATTAATGACTGTTTTAAGTTTATCTTATTTGTTTTTCATAGTTCGAATTTTGAATATGTTACAAGCTAATCAGTAGATAATAAATCATTATTTTTATGAATGTTAGTTGCACGAAATATATAAGCTGGTATAATTATGACTAAAAAAGGATAATTTTAAAAACATTTTATGATGAGTATTTCAGTGGTAGATTAAAGGGGCCTAGCCGGCCCACCATCACTATTTTTTTTTTAGAAATTTAAAAGTAGAGAAAAATTAAAATTATATTCAAATTCAGTCTGAGAGTGCCATTTCCGACCAACTGGAGGTACCAT